GATGGTATATGAGACAGATGGAGTAATAAATATGTCTAACCCAGAGTAATCATGGAAATAACAGGAGTTAGGACAGATGAATTAATCAACATATTCTTTTAAAAGGGAAGGTATCACATTAGTTCATCTACTAACTGAACCTTTACACGCAGAATATTGGATTAAAACTTAAAACAAAGGATCTCTCTTTGATATAGACTAGTCCCATAGAATTTATAGGATTTTTGAGAGATTGAATACCGAAATTGAACAAGTTCAAACTTTTGTTTGTCATATATTCATAAACCAGCATCTTTTCCTCTCCTTCAGTGCAGCATCACAGAAGCTTTGCAAGATTTCAATGTTGAAGCTTGGCTATTGGTGCTACTTCATTTTGGAACTCAGTTAAAACTTGTCCAGAGCTTCTTGAAAGCCTCTTCACAGCAATTTCTTGTCCATCTACTCGGCTACCCTGAAAATAATGTAATTAAAGAGTTGTAACTTTGTTCTAAACATACTTCATATATAGTCTTCTGATCATTTTCACCAGAATGTTGCAAATTTACCCTGTATGCATGCTGTAGCCAGGCCAAAATCTGAAAATTTTGGATTCATCTCACTATCAAGCAGAACGTTACTAGCTTTGAGATCTCTATGAGTTATCCTCAATCGAGAATCTAGGACCGATCCAATCCTTTACTTCTTCTTTGATCTGGCAATTGGTAAGTACTCTCTTCATGTCAGTCCAATATCAGTTTTGATATTTCAAACCAGCAAACTATACAGGATTCTGAAGCATATCACAATGAATGATTCAAGGTAGGGAATATTTATGATAGGAGAAGCAATAAAAAGGTTTTGAATAATTTAGACCAAAAATGAATGATTCAAGGCTTCTGCTAAGCATGTACTCATAAACCAACAGTCTTTCTTCTCCATGAATGCAGCATCCAAGAAGCCATAAAAATGTCTAATCCGATAAGGTTGATATTCTCCTCTTGCAAGAACGGCAAGTTGTGGACTTCCTACGAATTCCGCAGGGCTTGTTGTTGGTTTTTTCTTTGGTTCTTTTAGGTGCCAGAATTCTTTTATTGCATACAATTATCCCAGCCAAAGAAGTCACACATGGTGCCAAACTTGATCCAGTTGAGTAGATTGAGTGAAAGGCTTTTTGTGGTTGTGTTCTGGCGTAGCGTTTTTCAGCAATCATGTTCGAGTTATGGGTTGAGATGAAGGTTCCGTTGGTTTGGCAAGGATGTTCTGGGCAGAATGCTTTTGGTCTGTTGTTGATTATGATATGTCTTGGGCTTAATGAGTTTTGTTTCAATTGCAGCTGATTTGCTTGCTGGAAGGTGTCGAGCTCTCCGATTTATGCTTGTTTTGCGATGGTCCTTTGTTCTATTTATGTGGTCTATCCCCTGTTGGATAGGTGTTTCTCTTTAAAGCTTTGGTCCTTTGTTATGTGGCTCTCAGACTATATGTTATGTTTATTTAGGCGTCTGTGTGGAGGATAGACCTTTGATGAGTCTCGTTGTTCCTTGTTCCTTGGCTATGCCATGATTCTGTATCAATTTCATGATAATAAAGATTCTTCATTGGACTGAGAAAAAAATAAAAATGAAATAAAAAAAGAATGTAGATGAAAATAAATTGAGAATGTTTGCAAGTTTAACAAGAAGCAAGAGGCAACTTTACCACTGAGAGCCGTCGACCCACAATTCATTAAATACCTTTTCTCTATCTCATTCTACAAATATGTAACAAAGGGAGAAAGGACATCCTTAGCATCAGGGTGATCCCATTTCATTGATTCCCAACTTTTACTCGGGCGTACTCTGATTGTGTTCAGAAACGGAGGAAGAGATGGTTGCCCATTTTCAAGAAGGGGAAGAGACAAAGGGATCCTCTTTACTTTTGGACAATCGACTATCATGAGATTTTGGAGAGAATCTGTGATAATCAGAACTCCATCACTGCAAATGCTTTTCAATCTTGGTAAGTCAACCAACTCTAATGATTTTAATTTGGGAAGAACAAATGTTGTTCCTTCTCCCTTGTGATTTTCTTCTGAAGTTATTTCCTCCATTTGCACACATTGTTGGACTCTAATTTTCTCTAAGTTTTGGAGGCCCTGCAACAGCTCAACTGGAAACAACTTTTTCACCCTCGAACAAAAACTCATATGGAATTGTTTAAGAGAAGAGAAGATGGCCGATGGTGTTGGAGCATGAGAGGTACATTCATTTTCGACCGCTACTCCTCTCACAACTTCACACAAGTTCCTCAATTCATGAAGGTATAGCTCCTCAATGTTGTGAAGTGCATTGCAAGACGATAATGACAAGTCAACCACACACTCTATCCCTTTACACTCGCAAATTCGACATATCTTCAAGTCAGTTGCCTCACGAAACGAAGGAAAATCGCTTAAACATTTGAAATCATCACACGTCCAAATAGATAAAGAACGAAGGTCATTTGGGACCACTATATCATCACACCTTCCCATGTCGCAGTTGACAATTGTTACTTGATTCCGAATATCTTTGAAATTTGGGGAAAACCTATCCAGATGACTTAAAAGAGACAAAAATGATATTCCCACTCCAAATTTGAAATTTGTAGGGCATTTACCTTGTACAGACTCTACATATTTCTTAAGCTCTTGCATGTCACAAAATGAACATGAAACATACTCAAGCTTCCTCAATTTGCTTACTTCTTCTCCGTTTAGATGCAACCAATCTCCTATTAAGCATCGGATATGAGAAATCATCGGTAATATTCCTACTGGTAGCTCCTTTAGATTCCCTGCCCTTAGATCAAGATATCTGAGGTTTTCTAACATTTCTATACCATGAGGAACCTCTTTAATGCTTGTAAAGGAAATGTCCAACTTTCTCAATGCTTTGAGCTCTGCTAACGAAGGTAGACATTTTAACACGAGACAGTTAAAAAGTATCAATGCATTGAGATTTTTCAAGTTAGAGATGGAATCGGGTAGATCCACAAATATATTACTGGAAAGATCTAAAACTTTTAGCCCAATCAAGTGCTTAAAGAAAGAACCAGGAATCTTTCTTAAGCGACAATTTTGCAATAACAAGGTTGACAAATGAGGGCAATTAGGTGCTATGTGAGGAGGAACTTTTAATATTGAGTTTTCCATCAAAGAAATCTTCTCAACACTCACTGTCCATTCCTGCTCACTTGGTAGTTCCTCCAATTGCATACCTGCTTTTGCCATGAATTGATGACCTTTTATATACAATGCCATGTCTCTCAAAACATCATGCATCTTAACTCCTTCTTCATTCAAATAAGTTGTAGCCCTCTCTAACAAGCAATTATTTTCAAGCTTATTTAAAATGCTATGGCCTCTATCATGCATTGCTTGTCTGGTCTCTAAGCCGTTAAGGAGTCCCTCATCTATCCAATGTTCAATTAATTGAACCTTTTTAATCACAAAATCTTCAGGATATAAGGAGCAAAATAGAAAACAATTTTGGATATTCGGATCTATCAAACGATCATAACTAAACTTCAAACGTTCAAATACTTCGATATCTGATTCTTTCACACTTTTAACATGCTCCTCTAATTCAATTAGTGCATTCCTCCACTCACAAATATCATCTACCCCTTTCATGCTCCCGGCAATTGTGACAATGCTAAGTGGTAAACCGCCACATTGCTCAACAATTTTGTTGACGATGTCTTTTAAAATTTGATCTTGCACAACACTATGCCCCACATGGTCTAAGAATAAGTTCATGGACTCCTCCTTTGAAAGCGGTTTCACTTTGACCACCTTACAATCCATAGATGTACAGACCTCAATCGATCTGCTAGTGAGTACAACTTTCCTCCCCATACCTACTGTTGGTTCAAGGATCCCCACATCCAATAGAGAAAACCGTTTCCAAACATCGTCTAAGATCAACACGTACCTCTTTCCCTCCAAAATATGTTTTAATCTTGCCACTCGTTGCAATTCATTATCTGGAAGAGATTCTTCCAAAGAATCTGCAATATCTTTTTGCAATTTGAAAATATTCAATTCTTTTGATACAGTGACCCATATCACCATATCAAAATGACTATCCACCAGCAATTGATTATTGATATGCTTCATGATCGTAGTTTTCCCTATGCCACCCATTCCACATACTCCAATCATCCCAACTTCATCGCCCATCAAATACTCCCAAATTTGTTCTTTTACATTATATTCTCCTTCTAGATCTTTTGTCTCCACTTTTACCCCCCTAGTTGGCGGCGCATCAATTGCCACACCATCGAGAAAATTACCTTGTTGATGAATTTCTTTCACTTCTGCAATCTTTCGACGAACAAGTTTCCCAAGGCGAGCACGCGAGAAGTATGAAACAGCAGAGAACTTGGTTTCAATCTTTTCCATTTCAGTGTTTTCGTTTTCTACAGCTTTAAACCAGTACTCCACTTCTTCCCTCACCACTCTCCTGTGACGAAGCTCTGCTTCTTTTTTTGATGCAAGGTCTCCCCTTCGGATATTTAGAACATTCACTTTTTCTCGAAGATCATTCATACATTCTTCAAGTTTTCGGTGATTGTCTATGTATGTACATGTTGGACCTCCAAAGCACTTAATCACTTCAAGAATTGATCCTATAAACTCCATATAAGCTCCCTGTAATTTCAAAATCAATGAATATTGAAATTGTATTAAACGTAAATGATAACTTTTATAATTGTATCTATTTTAATAAAAAAAATACAATATAAAAGACTATAGTTAAGATAATATAATATAATATTAAACATATAATTAGATGTACTAAAACTTATATATTTTGTATATTATATACATGAAGCATTAAGAAGATAGTACTAATTTTTATAGTGTATGTATATATATATATATATGTGATTCTGTCAATAAAAAAATTAAAACAATAACTTTAGTTTAAAATTTTAAATCTAATATATACTAAAATTGAATGAGAAAAATAATTATAGCATTATACACTGAAATATAAAATATTTTAATGCATGAAACACATAATATAATTTTTGTCCAATCCAATATATAATTATACAAAAAATGGTCATATGTTAAATTTGATAAAATTTCCCTTAAATATACAATTGAAAAATATAATACAATATTAATTATATTATTATTATTATTAATCCTTAAAATTTTTTTTCTATGTATTTAACTACCATGTTTCCATAACTTCATTATTTTATTTTATATTTTCAATTGTTTAAGCCTTAACTATTCAAAATCTTGAAAGAAAAATTTTTTTAATTATTTTGTTAAGAGACATTACCCAATGTTTTATTTCTTTTCCCTCAGAATTTCCTTAATATTTCACTTTCAACCAAAACCAAATAAATATAAACCATAAATAATAAATAAATGAGTTTTTTGTAGATAACCATACGAATTCTTGAATATTAATTACAGCATTAATAGAAGAGGTAAAAAAGATAATCAAATTTTCAATAGCAATAAACATTGAAGACCCCAAAAAATATTAATTAATAGATTTGAAGAGTCTTAAAAAATTTAAATTGTGGATTAACATAATCTAAACATAAGATAACTAAAACAAGTATGCTTGTGAAAACAACAAACTTGTGACATATCTTTTTTGATAAGATAATTAAAAGAAGAAAGTTTGTGAAAACAACAATACATTTCGGAAAGAAATTTAAGAAATAATTGTGAGACTAAGTTGAGAAAGTAGATTGACATTCAAAATACCTGGTTTCTTCTTGAGAAAGTCTTTGTTAAATTTGGGAAATAAGCACAATAAAGAAAGATAGCAGCAACAAGCAAATGAGCTCGGTGAGAAGAGAATCAATGAATTATGAAGCTAAAAGGAATTAATAGCAGGCAAACCAATGCAAAGTCGTCGCGGAAGTTGTGAAGTAACTTTCCTTGAAGCTGTTTCCCAATAATGCAAATGTGAATTGAAGAAAATGTAGGACTGAATTATGGGGTCACTCGTCATGCTCTCCTCCATTGTTGTCCTCACAAGTTTCTAATTTCACAACGGCAAGAAAATGTCTTAAGGCAAAGCTTAAAAAAATGTTTACATTCACTAGTTGAATCCAAAACTTCCCACAAATTTTATTGAAAATCCAGGTTAATAATTTTCTATTTCAATGGCTGTTATGTTCTAAAAGATTGACCAACAAAAGATTTGGCCGACATCAGTGGGATCTCAGAAAGTTTGAGTCAGTTCCGGCGGCTTTGGCTTTATTTGAAGTTTGACCCTGAATTGGCTTCTAGAACAGTGAATGTGGACTCTAATAATCGGTTATATTCTATCAAGTATTTCATACCATTGACATGTGACAATTCCTACTACTATATTCTTGGTGGTTTTGTAGTTGTAATACTTTGATTAGGTTGACATGAGTATTATTCTGAGCTAATCACTGTCCAAGTTTTTCTTTTGACGGTAGTAAGCTGGGATTTATCTTAATAAGATTTTGAGCAAAGTTGTCAATAACTTTTCGAATCGTAATTGTCTTTTGTAACTTCACAGGTTTCCTTTGTTCATGTTAAATTTTTATATCATGAAAAATTTCCTGCCAATTAAATAAGAAATTTAAAATAATATATTAATTTCCAAGGCTAATAAATAAGTTTTTTTTTAAAAAAACCATTTAATTACTTTTGAATTAAGTTCAAGAAATTGACAAATATTTTTTAAATATTAGAAGAACTTTGGATTTGCCCTATTCATCAGTCATATCAAAAACCAGTTCATACTTAATCTGTCCAATAATGATACAGTTCATAACACTTACATGCACAACAAGGTTTAACAGCTAAGCGGGTTAAGTTAAACTCTCCTTTTGGTCTGGTAGTTGAATTAATGAATTATAAAGCCAAAAGGAATTAAAAATAAGTTGACATGGGACAGGCAACAAGATCATGGATACCATCATCAATGATTACATTACAGCCTTCTATTAAGTTTATGTTGATGCTCCTCAACAGTTGTGTCCATGGACTGTTTCTGGGAAACTTTGTTTTCCTATCATTCTCTCAATGAATTCTTCATATTGGGCTAGCAAAAAAAAAAAGATACAAATAAGTTGAAACCAAAACATATATAACATTACGAACATAAGGTACAAAACATACAGATCAATAGCATATAATAATGGATTGGAGATGAAAGAGTTAAGCATACAGTTAATCGATTATGTAGGACACAACTCTGATAATGGACAATTTCACAGAAGCGGTAGCTGTTTTTGTTAGTGTTATAAAATTTGTGGAGCATTTTGTGGAAGAATAAAGTAAGAAGATCCTGTACAAAGTGTAGTTACACTTGTTTGAAACATTCTGAGTTTTTCTTTTTTTCTTCTAAAATTTGAACAGAATTAAAACCAAGTTTGAAATATGTATAGTGGAAATGAAAATAAAGGAATGAGGAGGAAGGTGTAGCAGGGGATGTCGGATATGTCAGATAGGAATTGGCGGTGAAACTCAAGTGGGTGTGGAAAAATGCCTTCTTTTTCAATCTTCATCTGAGAAAACAGAGTGAAGGGTGTTCATTATAAAATTAAAATCCCTATTTTTTATTATAAAATAAGAGCAATTATTTAGCAATTATATACCAAATTAAAAAGTGATAAAAATAAGAATAAAAACAGAATAAACTCACAATGTTTGCAGTTTTAAGCAGAAGCAATGATTTTCACTTCAACATTGATAGAGCCTTCGAGAATCTGAAGAAATCATAACTCCACCACTGCAAATGCTTTTTAATTTTGGTAATTTAATCAACAGTAATGATTTTAATTTGGGAAGAATAAACAATGTTGGTCCTTCTCCTTTTGTAATTTTCTTCTGATGCTATTATTTCCTCCATTTTTTCACAAAATAAGGCATCAATTTCCTCTATTGTGGCACAGAACGATTAGTTCTGAATGAATTTGGAAGGCTCTTAAGTCTTAAAACAATTCTTAGGTGGTTATACAAGACCTGGGAAATATATTCCGCAACAAGTTTCAGCATACCTTAATTTTGATTACATTCTCAACTTTTCTCCAATGTTTTAGGCATCTGATCGTTCTGAACAACATCAGACCAAGAGGTTTGTCATGGTTGGTCTTTGCTGAAAGTACCTTACCGGGTATTGGTAACATCTTTGTTGGGAGGTTTAAAACAACTAGAAACTGTTTACCAAAAGATTTTAAAGGTGTGCTCTGATATCTACCTTAGATATCAGCTCATTGTAGTATATTGCATCTGCAACATTCTTAAGAATCCTACCTACTCTATCAACAAAATGAATCAATATCCCGCAAAAGTTTGACGGTATATTTTATGATCAACATTCATGGTTTGAGGGAACAGACCCTACCATGGGACCAGCATCACGGTTTATGGTTAGTGTCACCAATGATTTCAGTTCAAGCCCTATCATAGACAGTTCATCATTCATTCTTTTCGTTGCATGTACATGACTATGAACTGTACACAACTTGAAACATTGAAGTAATATTCCTAACCGAGTTGATGCAATTTACAAATGATGACATCACACAGAATTCCTATTTCTTATTTATGTGAAAGCTATGGTCTTTCTTCACTAGATCTGTTCATAAGCTAAACAGAACATATTACAAGCTTTTTAATTAGTTTACAATTGGCCAACCATTTCTTCCCCAGGGTTCAACTAGGACTGAAATTGATTGGAACTGCATATCTCATTGGACAAGGCAAACAGTTCAATTAGGCCTAAAAGCTCAATGCGAGTAGTTAAAAATCTCTGTTTCACAAAAATCAAGGAAATTTACACTTTGGTTTTGTCACAAAAAACAGGGAAAGTTACACAGCATGAGGTGTCTGTCTCAAGAATCCTTTATCATCGACCCTCCAGTATCAACATACTTGTATCATTGGTTGAAGAAGATTCAAGCTTGCCTGATGAAGAATCTGTCTCAGGTGATTTCCTTTCCATGAGGAAGCTAGGTTGTTTTGGTTTACTCAATGTTGTCACTACCCATCATCAGAACCATTGATGACATGCTTGGTCTAACCTCCGGAGGTTGTTGCAGACATAGGAGACCAATGTGAATACCTCGTGCCATTTCTGATAGATTGCATGATTCTTTTAACAAAGCATCAATCAGCTGTACAGCCTTTTCTTCTTTCCACAAATCCCAAGCCTAATACATGTTATAAAAGTTTGATCATTATTTGCTGTTCAAAGTACATTAAAAGGTAAAGTTTTTGATACTTACATGTCCAATAAGGTTAAGGCCATTGCCAGGATTGTAAAACCCTCTATTTTTCTTCCCACTTATAATCTCCAGCACCAGTGCTCCGAAGCTAAAGACAACTGATTTTACTGAGAGTTGCCCATCGATAGCATATTCCGGTGCCATATAAGCACTTCAATAAATTATCAAAAGAAAAGACATCAATGAACTTTTAGAGGTGAGTTCATGAGAAGAATAAATTTTGGTAGGGAATACAATTGCAATTCTTTTAATTTGGGAAGAATAAATGTTGTTCCTTCTCCTTTGTGATTTTCTTCTGATGCTATTATTATTTCCTCCATTTCTTCACATATGTAAACAGTAATTGTCTCTAAGTTTTGGAGGCCTTGCAACAGCTCAACTGGAAACAACTTCTTCACCCTCGAACAAAAACGCATATGGAATTGTTTAAGAGAAGAGAAGATGGCAGGTGGTGTTGGAGCATGACTGCTACTCCTACTCCTACTCTCACAACTTCACGCAAGTTTGGCAATTCATCAAGATTTAACACCTCAATGTTGTGGAGTGCGTCGCAAGACGATAACGACAAGTCAACCACACATTCTATCCCTTCACATTTCCTAATAAAACAACACTTCAAGTCCATTGCCTTACGAAACAAAGGAATATGGCCTTAAACATTTCAAATCATTAAAATCCTCAATACGTATAGTATGAAAGTCATTTGGGAGCACTATATCATCCAACCTCTCGGTCTTGCGTTTCCCCAACCTTACCTCTTTTCTAACTTCCGTGAAATTTACAACCTCTGTTTCATTATGAAACTGTCTAAACCATCCAACTTCGAAAATGAAATTTGTAGGCCATTTACCTTGTACCGACTTTCCATATTTCTTAAAGTCTTGCATGTCACAAAGTGTACATGAAACGGACTCAAGCTTCCTCAGTTTGCCTACTTCTTCTCCCCTTAGATGGTACCAATCTCCTATTAAGCATTGGATTTGAGACATCATTGGTAATACTCCTACTGGTAGCTCATTTAGTTTCACTGACCTTAGATCAAGATATCTGAGGTTCTCTAACATTTCTATACCATGAGGAACCTCTTCAATAACTGTATGCGAAATGTCCAACTTTCTCAATGCTTTGAGCTCTGCTAAGGAAGGAACATATTTTAACAGCCTACAATGAGCAAGTATCAATACATGGAGACTTTTCAAGTTAGAGATGGAATTGGGTAGATCGGCAATCTCATAATTACGGGAAAGATTTAGAACTTTTAGCCCATACATGTGCTTAAAGAAAACTTCTGGAATCCTTCTTAAGCCACAATTTTGCAATAGCAAGGTTGACAAATGAGGGCATTTAGGGGAGATGTGAGGAGGAATTCCTAATATTGACTCTTGCCTTGGATTTCGGATCGATTTTTGCATGAAGGAAACCTTCTCAACACTCTCTGTCCATTCCTGCTCGCTTGGCAATTCCTCCAATTGCACACCAGCTTTTACCATGAATTGATCACCTTTAATATACAATGCCATGTCCCTCAAAACATCACTCCTTTCTTCCAGTCATAAGTTGTACCCCTCTCTAACAAGAAATTATTTTCAAGCTTATTTAAAATGCTATGGCCCCTGTTATGCAGTGCTTCTCTAGTCCCTAATCTGTCAAGGAGTCCTTCATCTATCCAATTTTCAATCAATTGAACCCTTTCAATCACAAAATCTTCAGGATACAAGGAGCAATACAAGAAACAATTTTGGACATTTAGATCTCCCAACCTATCATAACTAAACTTCAAATGCTCGAATATTTCGATATCCGATACTTTCAAACTTTTCACCCGTTCATCTAATTCAATTGGTGCATTCCTCCACTCACAAATATCATCTACCCCCTTCATGCTTCCGGCTATTGTCACAATGCTAAGTATTTTGACCTCATTAGATTAAGTTGGAGTTATTTGATTTGGTCTATATATGTATTTTGACCTCATTGATTTATTATTTGGCAGTTTTGTATTTGAAACTCCTTGATGAATTATTCAATTTATTTTTGTTGTCAATTGTTCTACTGTATTCATAGCAATAAATTTTCATCAGAATCATTTATTCTTCTTATTGTCAAGATACTTAAGACAATTTCATTGACATACACACTTGCAACTTAAATTTTTTTGGCATTCTATTTTGTGTTATCATTTTTATTCTAAATTCAAAAATAATATTGTAAATAGAATTATCACCCGTGCACGAGATAGACATAAATCCAGTTTTGCTTCTTCAAATTATGTGACAGGATGAAGAAGAGAGGTCAAAGATCGATGAACTGCAAATTAAGTACAATTCTTTTTGGAAAAAAGCTGACATGAAACCAAAAAGAGGAAAACCAGTAGTGTTATGGAGGTGAAAATCTTATTTACTGAAGTTTTTGGAATTATTCCTATTTCTTACCGACGCTATAATTATTTTCAGCCTGATTAAGAGAATAGAGGCATGACAAAGAAAGAACCAAAATAATTATGTGGAATCAATATGTTGAAAGATGATGAAATTATGTTATAACGTCATATGATTCAGAAGATTAGAAATCATAATATAAAGTACTGGACAGTTGGATTACCTGGATAAGTAAGGCAATGGGTTGGTAGTTCTCCTATCTTGAAAGGGTGTTGGTTAAATTTGAGGAAGAAGGGAAGAGTAATATCTCCTTCCAAACTTTGTGAAGAAAAGAGCAACATCAGATTTCTCTCCTTGCCAAATCCTTCATGAGAAGAGCATGGATTAGTAAAAGTAGGCAAGTGAATGCAAACTAGTCCTCTGCAGGAAAGAGGATGAATCTATGTTATGAACCTAAGATTCGTAAAAACTTGAATTCAAATCCATATTATACTGTTTAATTACCTAATCAAGTGAGGCAGATGAGTTGGTACTTCTCTTATCCTTAGAGGGTCTCGGTTAAGTTTGTGAAAGTAAGAAACTAATCTCTTTGCAAAAATTTAGCAAGAAAATAGCAACAAGCAGATCTCCTTTCAAATTATCCTTGACGAGAAGAAAATGAATAATGAAGCACGTATATTATTGAAAAGTGGGCAACATGAATATTTATGTGAAAACTAAAATAAATGTCCAACTTGTGTATTAATAATAAATATGAGAGTTATGGTAAGATGAATTTATGTTATAACATAAGATTCTGATTAATTAATGTTACCAAAGATAAAAATAAATTATAAGTATAGACAACTTACTTGGTTCAATGAGGTAGTGAAGTGATACTTCTATCTTCACAAGGCCTTTAATAAATTTGGAAAACAGGAACAGTCAAGAAAAAAAGCAGCAAGAGCCAGATGATATCCTGGCAAAAAACAAAATCATAATTAAGCAAAAAAGAAAAGGAAAAAGAATAGAAGCATGAATTAAAGAGAAAAAACCAAACAAAAAAAGAATTATGTGGAGTATGTTGAAAGATGAATTTATGTTAGAAGGTAAGATTCAAAGATGACACCAAAGATGAAAAATGATAAGCGTAGACACTTTAGGTCAGTCAAGTGAAGCAATGATCCAGTTGATATCACTAAGCACATCTCCTTGTCAATTCCTATGTAATGAGAGGAGAACGAATTACGAAGCATATGAAATATTTAATGTGGGCAAGTCATGAAATTGGTTTCGGGGTTACTTCCCTTAAAGCTGCTTTGAAATAAAGATAATATAAATAAAATAAAAGATGGTAAAGTGAGTGTGAACACTTGTTCATCTTTCTTAAAGAAACAATAACCTAAGCTTCTATAATTGTTTGGAAATTAAGAAGGAAGTACCCGAGAAGAATCCAAAGTAAACAAACTACTTTGTGAAAGGAGAAGTTGAGGAAAGGTGAAGCGATTAAAAATTCATCCATTGTGTTGGCGGCGAAATAAAATATGACAAAAGTTAGAGAAATAGGGAGTCATAATTAGTGACTTGTGGGGCACTAATCGGATTTTCATATCTCATAGAATCGCTTTTCTTATAAAAGTTCCTTTACTCTTTTTACTATTAATAAATTTTTTTTTTTTTATTTTCGTGAGATTAGTGATTACGTATATGACATTTATTATGTCCTATAATTTTGATATTGTATCTCCCAAATTAACTCATGTCTATAATGTGTCTTTACTCAAATATAATCGATTTTTAAATCGGTTTGTGTGGAAGAGTCCATTCAAGCGCTATGCGAGGTATAACAAATTTGAGAAAAATTAATTGAAATTTATAATTTATAAAGAGAATTAATCCAACTTGAGAACTGAAAATTGAGTACCCAATCTATGGTAGAAAAATTTGACTACGCACAGAATGAAATAGATTATGACCTACTGAATTTAATCCATTTTTTAGGGAGACATGAAATGAAGTATCCTGTTGTTTGATGGAGCTTTAGTATCGTACTTCAATCACATGTTTCCACTGAGTTAACGCCGGGTTCTTACTTCCTTCATTGATTTTCCAGTTAAAATCAGCAATATCAGATTTTTAGAATTGAGAAATCGAGTTTCAACTTCAAATATTCTAAATGTGTCTAATTCAAAAAATATATAAAATAAAGCAAATATAAATCGAATAAAAGATGAAAAAGTGAGAGTGGATACGGGTTCCTCCGCTCACAGATATCATCTACTCCATGCTACCTGCTATTGTCACAACATCTCTTTCCCAGATATTTCTAATAGGCCTTAGCTGATCAGGCAAATCATATCTTAAAACAAAAATCAATTAAATATTATTCAATTAATTCTTTCCTTGTAATGTCTGCATATCATATATGAGACAGATGGAGTAATAAATATGTCTAATCCAGAGAAACCATGGTAATAACAGGATTCAGGACACCTGTCCAATTAAAAGGGAGGGTATCACATCCTTCTCTATTTTGGCTGAATTAGCTCAAACCACCTGGAATACCTTGTCTAATTTCTACTCCAATTTTTAGCACGGAGCTTGAACTGAAACTAGTAGATGAAAAATCTTTGTTTCTAAAATATCATGGAAAATGACACTTTGTATGATCACCATTTAAATTTAGAGTAATCACTGATTAAATCAAATTAAACTTGCTCATAATCCGTGTACAACATCAAATCACCAAATCTTATATATGCTTTCATTTTCTTTTTAAAATGAAAAAGCTGATTTAATAGATTAGTTGCCAACTTGGGACAAGCTAAATTGATGTGACATTCATTTGGTATATTCTAACTCTTGTTAACTAGGTTGGATTGAATACAGTTTCATCTAATTCGAGACTGGATAGGATTTTTAATTTGGATTAAATTTATGGGTAGTGATGCAATTTGGGAATGAATAATACCTATAGGTATTTGTATAGATTGCCATACAAATAAGGTAAAATAGGAAAGAAACTACATAGAAAGGGAAAGTGGAAAGATCCCCGAGCTCAATGAATTGCATGTGGAAGGAGTATAGCCCAACTTTGTTGGCACCAAATCTCATATACGCCCACAGATGATTTTGTTGCAAATCGTTGCAGAGTAATTGGTGTTGATAAAATTAGAAAAATGGTGAAGATATCGATTCCACCTCTTGAAACTAAGGTTCTGCCATCACTAACGGACTGGGAGGAGGTGAAGATATCGATTTCATCGGCAATACCTGAATGCAATAGTGAAATGGTGCTGGTGAACATGGAAGACAGACTGCCCATTGGTTTCAACTGTCAAAGCTTGTAAAACTCATAGAAAACTTTTATGGCACATATATGACATTAAAGGCAAAAGTACTTGACATTGGACACGCAACAAGATCAGGGATAAGCTCAAACTGATGGGATTACATAAATTCATAGGACATTACCACAAGTAAGTGCTTTCAGGGTGCTAAGATCAAACTGGGACTAAACCACTGGTATCAAAGCATAAGGTATAAAACATACTGATCAATAGCATATAATATTGACTTGGAGATGAAAGAGTTATGTATACAGTTAATCAATTATGATCATTTAGTACTGACAGAGTCATTTCAATTGTTGAAGAAGATACATGCTTGTCTGATGAAGAATCTTCTTCAATGAACTTTTTTCAAAGAAAAAACCAAGTTGTTTGGGGTCTGGCAATTCAGTTTCACTTCCCAACATCAGAATCATAGATGACAAACTTGGTCTATCCTCAGGAAGCTGCTGTACACGTAAAAGACTAATAATGGATGCATCGTATCACTTCTGATAGATTGCAGGACTCTCCTAAGCATTCTTCAACAGGTTCTGAAGGACTGCCTTCTTTCCATAATCTCCATGCCTGCAGCGAATCCAAACCCTTCCAGGTTTTTTCAGTCAAAGCGAAGCAACAAAAATTTGATTATAATAGTATCTGCTGAAACTAACATGTTGGATGGTAAAGCCCTCTATTTTTCTTCCCACTAATTATCACCAGCATTAATATACCAAAGCTAAAGACAATCTGATTTTAGTGGAACCAGTTCACCAGTAGGATATTGATCAAGTGCCATATAACCACTGCAGAACATCATCAACGCAATAAATATATTGAATTGAAAGTTGAAACAAAGGAGCTCTATTTGATATACTAGTCCTATAGAATTTAAAGGTTTATTGAGAGGTTGAATACCGAAAATGCAGAAGTCCAAACTTTTTTTTGGCGTATATTCATAAACCAGCATCTTTTCCTCTCCATCTACGCAAGCATCCCAGAAGGCAGAAGCTTTACAAGATTTCGATGTTGAAGCTTGGCTATTAGTGCTACTTCATTTTTGAACTCGGTTAAACCTTATCCACAGCTTCTTGAAAGCCTCTACACAGCAATTTCTTGTCCATCTACCAGGGTACCCTGAAAATAATGTACTTAAAGAGTTGTAACTTTGTTCTCAACATACTTCATACTTTGTCTTCTGATCATTTTCACCAGAATGTTCAAATTTACCCAGTATACAGGCCCAAAACCACCTTGTCCTAGCTTGTTGTCAATTGAGAAGTCATTGGTTGCTTTGGATATTAATGCTAGGTATAACTGGACTTCTGAGTCTTCCCTTTGCCCTTCCATGCTCCTGTCGTTTATCACATGGTTTTTTCTACCCCCTGAAACATTTTACTACATACTAACATGAACCATAGAAGGCTATATCATGTTAGTCAAGAATATTTCTGAACATCAGCTAAGGAAGTTGGAAAGAACATAGTGAAAACTTGATTTACGAAAGCAAATGGATCAGACAGTCTTACCTTTTAAGCTTGCATGGCTTCTGCAAATGTAATAGCTGACAAGAAGCAAACCAGCAACTATGAAAATGGCAATTGGAATTATGACTGTTATCTTGACCTTATTATTACCGTTTGGCTCTTCATGGAAATTTTAATAAATCAAAAGAAAAATAGGAAATCGAATTAAAACTAAGAACAAATGAGCTAAAGCTATAGGCCAGTGATGGAGAACAATAATGGAAATCATTATGGAACTTTAAGGAAACACTCAAATGCTCAACAAAACCAACAGTGAACTTACCTGCTTCAGAGGCAGACATATGAATGTACAGATCATGACCACCATCTTGAACTAGTTTAATATCAATCAGATCACTTCATTTTTATTTTTATTAAATAAATACAAATTAAGTCATGACTTCTTATTCATTTTTATTTTTGTTATGATGTGAGGATTAATTGATTATTCGTCAATGAAACATCTGAAAGAGTGCATGAGGAAAAAAAATCAAAACAATTTACAACTGATGAGATTGCACAGAACTCTTATTGCTGATTTATACGAAGCTTCAGTGCAGTCATCTTGTCGATTATCTGTGAGACAAATATATATAACATTACCCCAAGTAGGCACTTACAGGGTGCTAAAGCTCAAACTAGGACTAAACCACTGGAATCAATGCATAAGTTACAAAATATACTGGTCATGAATAGCATCTAATAATGGCTAGGAGATGAAAGAGTTAAGTATACAGTTAATCAGTTATTGAGTACCTAGTACTGACAGAGTCATTTCATTTGTCGAAGAAGATGCATGCTTGTCTGATGAATGATCTTCCTCAAGTGGACTTTTCTGAAACCAACTTCTCCTTGCAAAATTTGTCAAGAAATCAAGATCTTCAAAATTATCCTTTATGAGAAGAAAATGAATTATTGAAAAGTGGGCAAGATGAGTAGTTATATGGAACTTATGTTAAAATGGGTTTGTGTTATAAGGTAAGATTCTAATTAATTATGTTACTGAAGATATATAAACAAATCATAAGCATAGACAGTTTACCTGGTTAAGTGAGACAGTGAATTGGTACTTCCATCTTCAGAAGGTCTTTGTTAAAATTGGGAAACAAGCACAGTGAAGAAAAATAATAGCAACAAGCAGATGATCTCTGTGAGAAGAGAATCAATGAATTGTGAAGCTAAAAAGAATCAATGCAAAGTCGTCGCACAAGTTGTAAAATCACTTTCCTTGATGAATGCAAATGTGAATTGAAGAAAAACTGACAAAGTAAGAGTGAATTACGAGACAACTTGCAAGTCATGATATTGGTTTCGGGGGGTCACTTCCCGTAAAGCTGGAATCAAATAAAAGATGATAAAGTGAGAGTGAATACTGCTTCATTTTTCTTAAAGACACAATCCTCTAAGCTACTATATATAATAGAAAAGAAAGCACCCCAGAAGAATCCAAGGTTATTGTGGGGCAGTAATTGGATTATCATGTCTGATAGAATGCTTCATTATTGACCTCACTTCCTATCCTTCACACCTATCGGACCAGAAACTATCTAATACTATGACTTACTCAAACATCATATGAGTATGCAAGAATGCGTAAACCATTTATAAAGCAGGTGCAAAATAGAGAGGGAAAAAAGGGAGGATAATAGGGATCTCTTAAACCCTTTGTTCATTATAGCAAAGAAATTGAGCAAGAGAACTGCTGATACTGTAAGATTAAACTGCTTGCATCATTGAATAGGTGGTTGATTCTACTTTTCACCGTCCGAGATGATTGTCTAATGGAGTTTTCTAGCAAAGGAATCTCTTACTTTTGCATTGTGTTGTCTGTGGCACATTTCTCTTGATTGTCAAACTTCACCTGTCAAAGGCTCGCCTAATTGAGCTTGCATTATTAATATTGTTCAATGGTTGGTTGGTTGATGGCATTTCATTCATTACTCCAAAGTGCCTGGATTATATATATATGCATGCATAGAACCAACTTTAAAACCAGCCCTATCAATTATAGATTGTAATACAAATTACAAATCCAGATATAATCTGATAAATAAAAAGGTCATTACCAGTATCACAAGAGTTATTGAAACAACTAAGACTTGGGAAATGTTGACATGCATTTATATATTTGTGCTTTATACAGAAAAGAATGAGAAAACTGTATAACTGGGATGCTTTCTGTCCCCAAATTTTAAAACAAAGAATGAGAAGCAAATAGCTAATCACATTTGACCCTGAAATTGCACCAGTAAACTCTGCATACTATCCAGTTTCTGTCTCAGTTCTTGAATATTAGTAAGATTCTCCTCAGAAAATTCTGAGTTAGACAATTCAGTAACAAGAGCAGTACCCGTGGCCTGTGAATCCAAAACTGCCTCCTCAAGCAAAGCCATAGTTGAGCGCTGGTCTTCATTAATCTCTTTTGATAAAGGAGATAGCCAAATACTTCCAGCACTGCTGCCTCGGCCAAGCTTATCCGATGAGAAAATCTTGTCAGAACACTCTGTACCTACGAGTCACCAACTTATTCATTATGAACCACACACCAAGGAAAATAGTAAGCAGCAAGACTGCAGAGCCTTTTCAAAATTAATCCTCCATTCATGCTGACTAGGTAGTTCCTTCAATTGCAGAGAAGTTTTTACCATGAATGCTCATCCTAACTTTTCCCTAGGAAGTCATAATTAACTGTAGCTCTCTCTAACAAACATTTAATTTCAGGCTTGCTTAAAATACTATGGCCTATCTCATGCATTGCTTGTCTAGTCTCTAATTCATCAATGAGTCCCTCATCGATCCATTTCTCTATTAACTCCATTCTTTCCATTTTATAGTCTTAATGATATAAGGAGTAATATAAGAAACAATTTTGGAATTTTGAATCTCCCAAACAGTCAAAATTGCATATCAAAGACTCAAATAATTCAGCATCCAATCCTCTCACACTTTTGACCCATTAATTCATTTAATACATTAATCCTCCACTCATAGATATCATCTACTCCATGCTAACTGCTATAGTCACAATCAAGGGCGGAGGGTAATGTATCTTCAAAAAATTTTTAAAATTTTTTATTTATTATATTTATATTTTTTGAAAAAGCAATAAGTTTTATTCTTCTATTACCAGTATGTTATACTAAGTCTTTAGCCTGTTAAGTAGAAGATCTTAATTACCTGGCACAAAGGAACTGGCATGGGAAAGACCAAAAGAACATACACAGCTTGCCACTGAACACAAAAGCAACCAGTAGGCATAAACAGAAGAGAAAGCCAAAGCCCCCCATTGAACTCAAAAAACCAACGACGAGCACAATCCAATCTTCCTAAACGTGTACCACATAGATACTCAGAACTCTTCCCACATAAACAAAATTTTTAAAATTTTCTATTTTGTATTTATATTTTTTAAAATTTTTTTGTTTATTATATATATTTTAAATGAACTTTTCAAAATAATTTTTTATTTAACAATTAATACAAATTAAAAATAATAATAAATTGACCTACAAGCCCTACTCAGTTTTATCCTAATTCTTGAGTTTCTCCTCACCTCATTCTCTCTCTTTCTTTTTCTTTTTCTATTCTTTTTTATTTTTTTATTTTTACTTTACTCTCTTTTCTGTAACTTAACACTAAAATTACTTCATTATTTAAAAAAAAAAATGAGCTTGTGAGTTTGGATAAGGAAGAACAAGACCATTCACCACCATTGTGTGAAATTAATAAGAGGTAAAGTTTTTTTTATATTATTTAATTAGTTATATATTTAATCATTGTGTAAAATCTCGTATATGGCATTTAACTTGTTATACTTTAAGTATTATAATTTTATATAGTATTTTAAGTTTAATAGAAATAAAATAAAAATATTAGATATTGATTGTATCAATTTTTTTAAATTTGATTAAAGTATGAAGAAGTTGAAAACAATTGATAAATTCTTTAAAAGAAAAAGAAGTAAATCGTTCAAATAATTCTCTTAAACTTGAGCCATCAAGCCGTTTGAACTCAATTTTGAAAAAATTATTGGTTAAGTTTAACATATTAATTTTTAAAATTTTTAACCTTTATTCCTCTTTATTTTTGACCTCCCAACAAAAGTTAGCTTCTTCATCCCTAGTTATAATGACATGTCTTTCCCAAATATTTCTAAAAGGCCTTAGCTGATTACACAAAACATATCTTCAAATTGGAATAATTAAGGGATTGAACGTATATACAAGATCCAACTTCATGAAGTTGCAAGGAATATAATCTGACTCCAGAATGAAATTTGTAATTATAAAGTTTCACAAATGCTAGTTATATAGCACTAATGATCAGATAGTGTAGTCTCTTGAATGGATAATTTGAATATGAGTGGCTATTTTATACAAATATTTCAAATAAAAATTAATTTTAAAGAGAATTATGACTTTCTGAGATGAGCATAGAGGAGATTTGTCTTCACATTTTCTATAATTATAATTATGAGTAGCCTTAGCATCATAGTTTATCAATTAGTTCATGGGAAGCTTTGAAGAACAACATGAGGCAATTAATAAGTACTCATAACTATATATAAAAGAAAGGATAGCTTCTATCTGAAGCATTTTGCTTGCAAAATACAAGCAGGGTGCCACATGGTTGGATATTTCAGTTGTATGGATGTTTGAAGTCCTAGGATAGCAGTTGTTTGGGGAGAAAGAAATTTCTGAGAAACCTTCCCCAATGTTGACAGGGACTTTTCATATCATCTATTAAGACAAATTGACTTCCACTAACCCCCACCACTTTCCCCATTTTAAGGGTAATAAAAACAAGTTGATTTTTTCCAAATTAAATTGAGGTATTTGACAGGCTACTAATGATCTCAAAGAGTGGGCCTCGGCACAATTTGAACATCATACACAAAACTCCACCTGGTTTAGCTCCCAACTGTGTTAAAAAAAAATCAATTAAAATTTGTTCTGTTCTTGCTTGTAATGTCTGCAGATCATATATGAATCAGATGGAGTAATAAACATGTCTAATCCAGAGAAACCATGGAAATAACAGGCGTCAGGACAGATGAATTAATCAACCCTTTCTGTTAAAAGAAAAGGTATCACATCCTTAGCTATTTTGGCTGAATTAGCTCCAACCACCTGGCAAACGCCTTGTCTAATTTCTACTCCAATTTTTGGTACAGAGCTTGAACTGAAAATTGAAGATGAAAAATCTTTGTTTCAAAAACATCAAGGAAATTGACACTTTGTTGTGTTATAAAGATCCTGTAGAATAGTTAGTTTATGCTACTAACTATCTTAGGTTTCATGGGAACTTTCAAACTCAGTGCAAGTAAATGCACTTTTCTGTCACAGGAAAAGCTGTTGAGATTTCCTTATCTCAATAAACACCTTGTGACTCCTTTGGAAGTCAAAGTCAATACGAGTGGGTGTGTGTTTCCATTAGAATTTTTAGCTGATTTATGTAAAACCTATGTGTAAATTGAATATTAAGGTGTTGAACATATTAACAAGATCTAACTTCTGAAGTTACAGGAAGTAATCAGAGATTAAAAATATCCAAGAAATAGATAGGCTTATATGGACTTAGAATATGAGGTACAACAATCATGGTACAATGGCAGCACGAGGTTTCTATCGAGCCTTCAACTGTGAGATAGTAATATCATTGGTAGAAGATGATCCAAACATGCTTGACGAAGAATCTGTTTGATCATGTGATCTTTTGTCCATTAGAAAACCAGGTTCTTTGGGCTGAGTTAATGCATTCTCACTACCTAACATTACAACCACCGAAGACATATTTGGCCTGTCCTCAGGATAATATTGCACACATAACAGACCAATCTGGATGCACCTCACTGCTTCAGTTAGAGCACTCGACTCTTGTAAAAATGAATCCATCAAGTCTAAAGGCCTTCCCTCCTTCCAGAGTCTCCATGCCTGACAAATTATAAACATCTTGTTATTTTTTGTTCAATTACATTGGCAAGTAAAATCTTCACACTTACATGCCCAATAAGGTTAAGGCTCTGGTTAGGTTGGGAGAACCCTCTATTTTTCATGCCACTTATTATCTCCAGCACCAGTATTCCAAAGCTAAAAACATCTGATTTTACTGAGAATTGCCCTTCAAATGCGTATTCTGGTGCCATATAACCACTACAGAAAACGATCAAAACAAAAGAGATAAATGAGATTGAGTGGTAGATTCATGCACCAGAAAAGGGGAAAAAAAACACTTACTATGTTCCAACAACTCTGCTTGTGTTGCCCTCAGTTTGGTCTCCTCCAAATGTCCTAGCCAGGCCAAAGTCTGAAATTTTTGGGCTCATCTCACTATCAAGAAGAATGTTACTAGTTTTAAGATCTCTGTGTATAATCCTCAACCTTGAATCATGATGCAGATAGACAACGCCCCGAGCAATACCACATATAATATGATATCTCTTAGACCAATCTAATAGCTTGCTTCTTGTTTTATCTGGCATGTATTGGTTGTCACATTAGCTAATACCCAGCAAAAAACTTTTGAAGCAGGCAATTGGGGCAAAAAGATAAGATATACTTTTGATAAATTTACACCATTAATAAAGACCTATGTTTTATGGTGGTTAGGATCCAATACCGAAAATGAAGAAGTCCAAGCTTTTGTTTGGCATATATTCATAAACCAGCATCCTTTCCTCTCCTTCAATGCAGCATCCGAGAAGCTTTACAAGATTCCGATGTTGAAGTTTGGCTATAAGTGCTACTTCATTTTTGAACTCATTTGACCCTTGTCCTGAGCTTCTCGAAAGTCTTTTCACAGCAATTTCTTGTCCATCTTCCAGAGTACCCTGGTAAAAGTGTACTAACAGAATTGTTACAATATGCTGAAAAAAAAATGCCTTTGTTGTAGTGGTTATTTTCACTAGAATGTGGCAAAGTTACCCTATATACAGGCCCAAAACCACCTTCTCCTAGTTTGTTGCCGATTGAGAAGTCACTGGTGGCTTTAGCTATTAAAGCTAGGTTGAATAATTGGAGTTCTGAGTCTTTCTCTGCCCCTTCATTGCTCCTGTCACTAACCCCGTGATTTTCTTTTCCACCTGAATCAATAGAAACGAGTGCTGAAATTAGCCTGTGGATTGTTGTATTACAGCAAACTGCATTTTGGTCAAGCATATTTATGAACTAGGCGCCAGAGTCAAGAGTCTCAGACTCTCAATTTAGTTCTTTGTTCCCAGTGAGGGGAGTTTCTAACTCTCCTAACAGCTTTGAAAACGTTCTAAGACATTGTTAATATATAATTTTCAAGGCAAAAAGTGCAAGCAGTTGTTACCTTTTACCCTCGCATGTCTTCTCCAAAGGTAATAGCTGACAAGAAGCAGACCAATGACAATGAATATGACAATTGCCACTGCTATCTTTATTTTAGTCTCACCTTCTTCTCCTTCATAGAAAGTTTCAATAATAGTTTAGAAAAAGTGGTTAAATTATAGTTAAATCTCTAAGTCATACTGTGATAGGGAATGGTTTCATATATTGGCTTCAAATTTAAAGAAAAAAATGAACGTAGTTATGACATAGAACTATTTCATCGCTTTCATTTTGTAACAGAGGGTTCAGGCAATGGTTGTACATGGTGGGCGGTTTATATGGGTCAAACTCTATTTTTCCTATGTAAGATTACAAACTTATGTAACCCCATTGAATTATTGAATCAATGAAATAGTTCATGGCATAGAAAAAAAAAGTTATGTAGTTTCAAGAACACTCAGCTGCCCAACAAAAATACTACAGGTAAGCTCATACCTGTTTCAGAAGCAGACATCCGAATATATAGATCCTCCCCACCGGATTTTAGCTGTGTAATATCTATCAAATCACCAAACCAAATGGCACAACCACTGCCTCCTCCCCTAATATCTATGTTTGTGTAGGCCATGCACGAACAGTTCTGTAAGCACTTGGCCCTGCATTCCTTGAGATTCATGCTTTTGTTTACCCAAGAATTTGTCGTATCTGGCAGTTTCAATCCACCAAATTTGATGAATCCATCTCCTTTCGTGCAGTTTAGTGGCTTATTGCGCTCACACCCTTGAGCCAAGTCCAAGGAATCCCAATACAGTGGTGACTTAGGCTTGAAACCTTTTAAACATTGACATGGTGGCGTTTCAGAATTATCACAACTACCATATGCACCACAGTGTCCGTAGTAGTCGCAGAAGTCCCTAGGTGTGAATGAATACAGCAGCCATGTGCTATTTTCTTCATTCCATATGTAGTGCTGACCCTGATAGTTGGTTTGGTTCAAAGTGTACCTCGCAATCACTGATTTATTTTTGAGGTAAAACATGTTGTACACCTCCTCTTCATTCCATACAAAGTTAAACTGAAACACCCACTGGAAGTTGTGCTGAAAATTTAGACTAGGCCTTAACTTCCGAGCACCACTGTACCTGAGGCCATTCCAGGGACCTGCCCGAAAGTATTTACCTGAACCTTTCCACCCATAAGCATCAGGGTACTTGTATAGCGCTATCCCTGTAGTGAAGTCGCCAGGAGATGGATCATCTGAACTTGTCCATGCTGACAGACGTCGATCAAGACCAGTTCTCAAGTCCCACCCAAGTTTCATCTCTGGTAGTAATGTATCAGCTGGATAATCAAAGCTTTGCCACAAATAACTTTCGGAGTTACCGTCCTGTTCTGCCTCTCTGAGGACAAGATTTCCGGAATCTAAGAGCTGCACTACTGGATTTCGAGCTTCTTTCGTCGAGTTTGATGACCAAACAACACCATTTCTTTGACTGAGAAGTACAAGATTGCCTGTGCTGTTTATCTTTAGCAAACCAGGCCCGTCATTTATCGGGTTTCTCCTGTTTGCTACCCACACCACAGTTTGGCCTGGGATATTCTTGTACCAAATTCCCAAGTAACGGTTCTTTGAGCTTCCAGGACTGAAGAAGCCCAGTTGAAACTTTCCTTCTTTGGAAACAAGGCTCCGGCCATCAGTAAGAGACTGAGAGGAGGTAAACATATCTACTCCATGTGAGAATCCAGAGAAGAAAACTAGTACAATGGTGTTTATGAGAAAGAAAGCCCAGAGAACATCCATTGTTTTCCAAGCTTTTTTTACAACTCACCAGGCATAGAAAGACCTATGTAATAGCTGTTCACAACTAACTTCTGACTTGTATGCCGGTCTTCCCTGAAATTAAATTTGGTAGAGATGTAAAAACCGTATGCTTTATTATCAGGACAAGACTAGCTGAAGACATACATTTTGTTTTCAAGTAAGAAAAGTCTATGCATGCTCTGAAAACAACTTTGAGCCAATTGGTCTTAAATGAAGTTGTCCAAGGAAACGTCGAAAGGAGGCAAAAGGAGGAATCACAAGAAACAAATATAGACAACTTCAAAGAACCCATATCCCAAGCAAGCTCACATAAGAGTATGTCATTTACAGCGTTGAAAGGGCATCTTTTCGTTAAGATGAAACCATTTCACGGCCGCTGATCAATGAACCTTAGCCAAAGTCCAAGAACAAGTAAACTCAACAATCATAACACTATTTATATGAAGATTCAGTATGGTACTCTGATCAATATAACCTTAACAATATTTAACTCATGAAACATTTCTCACCAGTAAGCATTTGCTAAAAGCACAAGCGACAAGCATCAACTGGAATTGAAATCATTGGCCCAGTATAAAAGTTCGAAGGGTATATCCTGAATCTAACATCTAAACAGGGAGAATTGGGATCTCTTTGTTTTCAAGATTGCATTTGGTGCAGTTGCCAGTTCCAGTACATTTTCAGGAAGAAATCGATTCATAGCATGTGCAATAACTCCTTGTAAGGTGACAACATTCAATTCTTTTCAACACAGTGATCCAAATAACTTTATTGATCTGCTTCATGATTGTAGATTTTCCTATGTCCCCAGTCAATATACCCCAACTCATCAAATATCTCCAAATTTGGTCTCTGATCAATGTTAATGGGCCAAGGGAAACACATGTCCATAAATATGCCTTGAGCAAAAGATTTACTGGCCCATATACCCAAAAGGCCCAATGTAGAAACCCCCATGAACTCTACCCGCCTTCTTGCTTGGCCAAGTAATAGTGGCAAAGACAATTTAACATCTTTTTTTAGCTAAACGAGACAATTTGACATCTGAAATTTCATTCCGGTTTATAAGTTCTAATTAGTTACAAACATGCATAAAACGACACAAAAGTACCATGTATTATTCTTTTATTACACGGAGGAATTCAGACAATCTACCAAAAGATTTCAAATTCAAGACAACTTGAACAATTTTATTTCTTATTTATTCCACATTAATTCTTTCTCAAATTGGGATTGGATCAATCATCAATGAAGTGATTCCATCCTTTAAAGCTTCTCCAACATGTGTGTATCCATCTCCTTCCTTGTAAAGGAAATCCATCACCCTTGCAAGATTGAGAATCCGTGTGAGGACCGGCATTGGAACCCGAGCCGGTGGCCTTACCAATTCCTGATTTATATCCTTCCAAGCATTCTCAATTTGCTTGTTCAACTCATTGCATGCCTTTTCTTCTGAAACCCCATGTTGCTTCATGTAGCATTCAATAGCCGATGCAACATGCCCTCTCTCTTGCTCAAACTACAATAGTAAAATTAATTTCTAAATAAATATATAGGTGTTATTGATTAAATGCATGATTTTAGTCTTATTTATGATTGAATTATATGTTTTATTTTAACATTTAGCTTTTTACCTTGTGTGAAACAATATAGTCCATGAGGGGGCAATTATGGAAGAAGCTCTGACAATCTTAGGCTTGTTAGATGCCCATTGAAAGATCTCTTTGGTCACGTCTCCCATTCCAACAAAAGATGTGACTGTAACCATGATGTAGCCAGAAGATGCTAAAGCGTTGGTCATGTACTCCTCCATTGTTGGTACATAGTTTTCATGGTACCATTTAGCCTCAACGAAATAAGCTTGAGATAATTGTTTCATCTGGGAAATGACGAGATCTTTTGTTAATTTGTGGTCCTAATAATCTTTATTTATTTCATGTCAAAAAAATCTTAAATGAGACAAGAGTAGTGTCAATTTACTGATTTTTTTGCATATTTGACACGGTATGATTTTTCTTGCTCTGTCATCACTTCCTCCATTTCTTCATAAACGTCTAAGAGTGCCTTGTAGAACAATTTCATATATGCTGGCAGTCGATCCATACAGTTAGTATCCCACCTGAAATTCAATCAAATTCTAATGTTGAAGTTATCAAAAAAGGTAATTCAATATAGTTATAATATTGCTGACCTCTCAATAGCTTTGGTAAAAAGTTGAAGTTCTTCAAATGTGCCATATGCATCATATATATCATCCATGGTAGATGCCATGACTATTGCTTTTGTCAATATCTGTCTAGCAAAGGAGTATTGAGGCTCAAAGTACACTCCCAATATCCAAAAGCAACCTTCAACCAATCTATCTCTTGCAAAAGGTAGTTTTCTCTTGAAGTCTAAATCTTTCCACCACCTGAAATAAAACCATTAGCACAACTATAGTTCTTTATTATTCATAAAGCAATTCATATATATGGATTAAGAAGTTAATCACCTAGAGATCTTGCTTAGCTCTTCCTTGTGCAGATTTTGTACTAAGCTGAAATCCAACTTGGCAAACTTCAGTAACTTTTTGTCATGTGAACTATCTTCTTGATATATGGAAATGAATCTCCTAGCTTCCAACCTTTGCAATCCCTTGCGGATGGGTCGTTTTCGGGCATGGGAGACTAGTACTGAAAGGGGATACTGACATAGGCTAGTTTCGGCAGACTCTAGATGAGTGGTGGTGAAAGCAAGTGCTCCTTTCAATATATGTTCTCCATGCGTACGAAAATGAGCAGCTTCGTATAATTCTAGCAAGCCTTTCATATCACTTTGCAAAAGGACACCTTGAAGTTTCCTTTGTCATCTTTGAACTTGTTGAATGTCTCTACTCAATCAAGGGAAGGTAATAAAATCAATATATACTTAATTAACATGTACAAATTAACCGTAAAGGGAATCAAATTGGACTTACCACATTGAACATTAAAGCCGTGCTCTCTAAGCAGTTGGAATCAAAGAGATGTAACCTCCAGATTGTCATCATCTTTGTAGTCTTGATCGTAAATATTTTGTAATACATCCTCTATCTCCCTTTCAAAATGGTAACTCACACCTAAACGCTTGATTGTATCAATTAAACGTAATTTCTGAGATAGTTGATTATCTGTAGGTACCGTAAGTATCCTCCTCACTTCTTGTTTCAATTCTTCGTAATGTAGTTGGGTCGTAGTATCCACATTCTGCACAATTGTAAGGGAAAGAAAAACAAAATTGCACATACATGAATCAGCATAGACACTAGCCACATAGTGAGGAATTAATTTAGTGAATTAACAATCTAAACTTGGTACCACTCGAGAAGGACATGAAAGGAAAACATCCCCACAAATGCTAGGATGAAAGTTGGCGGAGCGAAGATTCTCATTGGACATGGAATCGTGAGCTGAAACAGGAAGTGATGAAGAAGCTAGAGAAGACATTTCTTGGGATAGTAAGTTGGAAACAGTAGATGTAACTTATCGAATTGGTTGTGAGCGAACAAGGCCCTAGATTGTACTATTTACAGAAATTTTGTTCGCTTTCCCTCTGCCACGTTTTTGGTATTCTTTAATTCAGTAAGGTGGGACTTGGACAGGTGCATACATATAAACAAAAACGTATAATTTGTGTGGTCGCATGCATATCAAAATTATTTTGTAAGATAATGTCAAAATTAAAGGAGTAGTACATAATTTCGATGTATGAAATAGAGCATTTAAATTACCAAAAATGTGACTATTGATTTAAATTGGTATGCTTTTAGTTTGAAGCTGAGAAAATGTTAGACATGAATATGCAACATCAGCATCATTTCATTTCTTTCTCAACAGTTAAATTTCTCATAAAAAGGTATTCTAAGGAATCCATTTAATTATATATCATAAAATTGATACAAAATCAAATTTATGTCAAACTTAGACAAATCAAAAATAAGTTTACCAGTGTCACAGTAAGGAACTGCTTGAGTATCTTACAAAGCAAAACCAAATAAATGAAAATCATGTAATCTGTTGTGATAATGTTTTATGCTGAAACAAAATGAAGGTTTGCGTATCGACCACAAATCTTCAATATTTGCTTACTCATATCAGTATTCACAGCCTTTCAAACACCTGTTTCTGCACTGTTGCTTGTACCCAAGGCCATTAAGCTCGATCTCTTTGAAACTTCTTTCTATATTACTGAAACCTTTTGATTGATTGAACAAAGAAAATAATAATAATTAGCATGTGTTTTATTTTTTTTACTCCAATAAAAGGAATTTATTAAATTATATATCATAAAATTGACGCGAAAATCAGGTTTATATCAGAATTAGACAAATGATAAGTAAATTTACCATTATCTCGGTAAGGAATTGTTTCAATATCCTACAAAACAAAACAAAGCAAATGAAAATCATGAATATCTTACAAGTAATTCAATAATTCATTGTATGTATATCCACACGATGATTATATATATACATATATATCACATTTTTTTATAAAAAGAAAAATAAAAATAATTTATTAAATTTAAAATTACTAAAGGAGACAGTTCAAGAATATTAAGGCTCTATGAAACCAAAAAGAAACACCTTATCACCAGGCCGAGAATATTGAGACTCCATGAAAACCAATTTTTCCAACGAGGTGGCCAAAGAGTTGTCTTTTTTGAAAAGTATGCATGAAAGTAACATCACCAATAATTTTAATCAAACAGTATCTATTTAATTAAATGTAAGGCTAGAACCCACTAAAATCAAATATGATAGTCAACATTCAACCAAATTAAGATAACCACATTAAAGTCGATGTTACATTTCTGGACGATATGAAATATAAACAGTAAAAGAATCCTTTGGATGCATCGGCATTGACAGAAATTGGATGATTTTGATTTGTAAAGTAGCCAGGGCATGGTCTTTATTTCCATGGTTTGGTGAAAATTTGGATGATATTGATACGACTGGAGTTCTGGACCGCTGGCTTTTTCCCAAGAAACCTTTCGTCGTCCAGAGGCTCAATAATTACATTAGTTCACTTGTCATACATCACAATTTTCATTTTGTTATCATTTATAAAAATTTATTTATACATGTGAATAGAGGTTACATAAAATTGAATGCAGTTAAATTGTTCAATCTTTCAATTTAATTGGAATAACATGTATCTTAATCTTCAACAATTGTGTATTTAAAATTAATGTCGATAAAAAATTATAAAAAATATTTAAAATTTACATCACTCAATTTTAAAATAGATGAATTTTTTGACCGAATTAATTATTGTTGATAGATCATTTATGTAATTAGGTAATGAATTGTTATACAATATAAAAAAAATGAAAGAAACTCTCATTTCCCAACTAATGCAAATATGAATTGAACTAAAATTTGAGAAAGTAGGAGCGAATTATGAGGTCACTTGTCCTCATAACTTTCTTTCACTGGGGCAACAAAATTTTATCTATTTTTATGTCTCCAGGCAAAGAGAGTAGTACAGTAAAATTTCTATAAATTAATATTCAGATAAATTTATAATCTTGATTAAGTAATATTTTTGATTGATCCCAACTTAGGATCAACATGGTAAATTTGTAATTTGATAAATTTAAAAGATAATACATTTAAAAAAACACATAAATCACACTTAATATATAAATTAATAATTCTTTTATACATCAAATTTATATATATATATATATATATATACACACACACACACACATAACTCAATTAGGAGGCCTTTATAAAATATGATTCCAATGTTTTCTTTTTCTTGAAATTGATATATCTTTAAACATCTCATCTCTAACTTTTTTTTTAGTGTATTAAGAAGTTTTGGTGTAGTGTTCTCATATTGTAAGAGAAATTATACAATGTGATTGTTACTTTGAATTCATCTTTACACGAGATAGGTTCCAATATAAAACTTTCATTTTTTACTTCATCTTTTTTATCATTTCCCATGACGTTCTCAATAATTTGCTTATTATGAATAACGATAATTCGTAATTCGGTAATTATGTAATATTTGTATAATCTTAATACATAATATATGTATTAAATTCAATATTTTGAAAAAAATTAAAAAATACTATGATAAATTAATTTTTTATTAATTAATGCATAAATTAATAAATTATTAATTTATCAAATAAAAAATATCGGAATTAATTAATAAATTTTTATAATCCAAGAGTATTAATTTATGGAGATTTTACTATATATCTTTTACTACTTTGCTAGCAAGCTTAACACTTCTTATTTCTATACATTTTTACATAGTAACATATTTGAAGTAAAGTCCATTCGGTTGCTTCCCAAAAGCAGCTGATGCTACATCACTTGATGGATAACTAAATTTAATCAGGCTGAGAAAAAAAAAAAGTAGATTTAATCAAAGTATAGGGAAAAAAAATATCATTCATATTCATGCTGACATTTAATCAATGTAAAGAAAGACCAAATGAGTTGAAAAAACGAAGTAAGAGTAAACACCATCATGCTTAACTGTGCTAATGTCTATGCATTGATGATGCTAAGAGTGTAGCATAGGTTACAATCATTCAACTCTGGCCTTAGTATAAGATGATTTTGCCTTTTGCCTTATTATAAAATTATAGTTCCCTACATGCAAAACCTAAACATGGTAACACACAAACATCCAAGCAAGCACATACTCCTCAATCTTCACTGCGTGAGAACTCATT